GTAACCACTCCGTCGAATGCTGCGCCCGTGCGGTGCCAATCAGAGCACCGTTTGGATCCGGTCAAGATCCCAGCATTTGATGGTCAACCGGAAAACTGGTTGATGTTTAGAGACATTTTCGAATCATTGGTGCACAATCGCACCGATCTTGACGAAAGCTATAAACTCAGTCGATTGAGGCAATGTGTTGACGCTCAGGCAGTACACATGGTTGGTGGAGTATACACGGGGGGCTACAGCCAGCTATGGGCCGAGTTGAAAAGGCGATATGATAATCCTCGGCGCTTGGTTGAGTCGCACGTGTATCGGCTATTAGACTTGCCGGAACATCCAGTTCCAACGCAGCGCAACGTTCGCAAAGTTATCGATGTGGTGCGCAGTACTTTACCTGCCCTGAACGTGATGGGTCTGGCAACAGACCAATGGGATGCCATCGTTTATCCCATAGTCCTCCGCAAACTACCAACTCCGGCTGTCTCACACTGGACGGGTTTAAACCACGCCGAAACATTAATGCTGGAGGAGATCGAGACTTACGCGGATACTCTGAGATGCGACCCCAATGTGTCACTCCGACCGTCAACAGCGCGCCGTATGGCACAATCACATGTAGTTACCTCGAAGTCTCCGAACGCAACCATGAAATCGTCGCTGGCCTGTCCACGGTGCGCGGAACCACATCGCCTGTCAATATGTCCACAATTTCGAAAGTGCAGCTCAGGAACCTGCGACAACTGCAAACAGAAACACAACACCTTGTTTTGTAAGGCTTCTTCATGCAACGAGAAGTTACCTGCAACCACCAGTGCGGCAGCGCGACCAGCCCCCGCATTTGAAACATCTGTCGGCGCCATTACGCCACAGGTTTTGCCTCGCATAGATGCGGTGCAGTCTCTCCTGGCGCAATCTGAGGGGATCGTCCTTCTGGCCACAGCTAGAGCTCCACTTTTAGACAAGGTGGGGGAAGAAGTAGCCTGCCGTATATTATGCGACATGGGTTCACAGGTAAGCTTCATTACAGAACGATTACACAGAAGACGGTACCCGCTTACGGTAGAAGGAATTGGCTCTCAGAGGGTGACTTCGTCGCGTGGCCAGGCGACTCTGGTGATGCGCTCATACCACGATGCCACGTTTGAGTGCACCTTTGAAGCTCATATCCTACCACAAATAACTTCGGAGATTCCTGCGTCGCCAATAGACATTAACCACTATCAACATTTGCAAGACATACCACTAGCCGATCCCACGTTTCACACTCCAGGGAGCATCGATGTTCTCATTGGAGCGGACATTTGGGGTATGTTCCTCCTGGGGGAAACAATCACTGGTGGGTCTAAATAGCCGTGCGCCCTGTCCACCCGTCTGGGGTGGGTCATTTGCGGACCTGCGTTCCCACGCTGTACGTCGCTTCCAACTTTACGCGCGTTACCGAAATTCGCCGCGGAAGAAGAGCGACTAGATGAGATACTGCAACGTTTCTGGGAGCTGGAGGAGGTTGGCCGACCCCCAGCTGTTGACGACCTTAGCGAAGATATTTTCTGTAAAACGGTATCGCGCAATAGCGATGGCCGATACGTAGTACAAATCCCATTTTCACCGAATGCATCAGCTCTTGACAATTCATATGTCAAGGCATTTAACCAATTCCTCAATCTTGAGCGCCGCTTGAGTAATGATGATGAGCTACGTAACAAAAATATTCAGTTCATGCGCGACTATGAGGCACTCGGGCACATGGAGAAGATAACACCGCAACCAGGCGACCCATCCCAGGTTTATTATGTACCCCACCATGCCGTCACGTCGAAGTTCCGGGTAGTTTTCAACGCCTCTGCGAAGACAAGCAATGGCGTTTCCTTAAACGATACTCAGCTAGTTGGTCCGCCCGTCCAGAATCCACTTGCCGCCATTCTTCTCCGGTACCGTCGTTTCCGTATAGCTATCACTGCTGACATCGAGAAGATGTTTCGGCAGATCGAAGTTGATTCCAGACATAGATGTTGGCAGCAAATTTTCTGGCGGGAAAGCCCAAGTGATACTCTCGGTGTGTATCAGTTAACGACGTTAACTTACGGTATGGCTTGCAGTCCTTTCAATGCGGCACGCGTCTTGCAGCAGTGTGCCAATGAAAACCAATCAGCAGGTAGGTGCAAACCGCCACTCCAATCCGAACTTTCGGAATTGATAAGTACCT